AGTGGACTCATTATTGCTACTGAACCATCCGAGATTAAATCTATGCAAAGCTCCAGTCCGGCTACAAGGTAACGACGGATCGTCATTACGGAATATCATCTACCTACTGGAATAATTATGCTCTGCTAATTGTTTAAAAGCTCCCTCTATTTCTCCAGCTAATGCGATGCTCAAATTGCACAGAGCCATTCGAGCGTCTGTTACCATAAGTCTAATGAAAAGGCTCTTCAAAATGCAAATTGTTTTTGGGTTTGTTAAAATGTTCTGGATGCACTGTTCTCATAAATTTATGAGAACTGAACCTGAATAATAGAAACGTGTGTTTTGTTTCCGTTTGAAGCATAAACTTAATGTTGATATGTGTAGATAGTTTTTAGCATACAATAATAACTGGCGAAATGTAATTATTAATCTTCATTTAATTAAGTTGTAATAACTACAATGAGTACCATGTTAAATTTAGAATAATGGATAAACATATGTAATTTTTACATAATATAAAATAAAGACATTGAAATACTTGAGTCATACAATTAAATTAATATTTTACATGGATTATAAATGGAAATTATTAAAATTAGTCTTTACAAAACATAATATAATTTAATTTAATTTCTTCTTCATTGGCGCAACAATCCCATGGTGGGCCAAGGTCGTCTGTCTATTAGCAGATTTCGGGGCAACAGATGTTGCCTTTTACGAGGTGAGGTTGTTAGTCATACACCTAACGCTTTACACTCATATTAAACCGAGACCCAGGGTTGCTAGCCCTACGCTGTACATTCATATTAAACTTTAGTAGTCATATTAGACATTGACCTATGGTTTAAAGTGGATTTCGAAACATTAAAAACATCCAAGGCACCACCGCGAAGTATTCAGAGTTCGAAACCTATGGCACCTAGCTCGTCACTCGGCCATTAGGCCCCATTTAATTTGCATTATTAAAAAATATAAAATCGGCAAAAAATTGGAAATTGATTCAAAAATGTTATATGAAAAAAATGAAAGCATTGTAGACTAACATTCAATAAAAAAGTTAGATTTATTTTGCGAATGAAGTTTTTATATAAACCTCTTTCATATGGAACACAAAGACCATCGACTTAAGAGAAAAAGTGAAGCATTTCTGTCAATAATAACAAAACACAACTACAAAATAACTAACTAAATACAAAATAAAACTAACTACAAAAATAAATTAGTTACATTTACTTGTAGTGAAATCAGTGAAAGAAATATAACTAGGCATTAAATTTATTAACAAAACTGAATAAATTCCTTTAACAAGGGCATACATACAAACGTTGCATGTGTTTGCCAACATCAATTCGTCAGATATTGAAAATTGAATTGCTATCTATCCTCTATGAAATAAGGTAAATGGCGTTAAAAGAATGTTATTTATATCATTTCACAGTATGTAAAATAAGTGCAATCAATAGAAAAGAAATCACATAGAAGTTTACAGCACTTATTTTGGTGCATTTTCAGCTATGCCTCATTTCATAAGGATTTCCAAAAGCTAAGGCCCTCATAAGAATCGACCTAGTCTTAACATACTAAGCCTATCAAGTATCCCCAGTGGACGAGGTCCCGATATGACGAATGAGGAGATTGTGGTAACCAAGCAACAAATCTACCCAAGGCAATCCCCCAGTCCAGAAAGCTGGCGCTGAAATTATTATGTGCATCAATAATATAATTTTTGTTCCATCATACTGAATATGATAACATAACCTCTTAGAGAACAAGTTGTTGTTGAGTATAAATAGCTGAGTAACGATACACAAATTGTGGAATATTAGAAATATTCAACAATTCTCACTTCGAATTAATGTATTACCTGATGTGGCTCAGTTATAGAATCATTATTGTTATATAAACTGATCCCAAACTATTACTGGAAAAGTACATTATTATGTAATATAGGATTCATTTTAAACAGACATTAACGTTATGCAATCTAATTATGGAAATTAAATTGAATTAAATTGTGGCGTGAATATTGTGCAATTAAATTATAATTAGTAACACAATATTCTCGCATAATATTCACGTGAGAATTAGTCATCTTTTGGCATTTTATGCTTAGTGGTCATGCCATTTAATTATGACTAAAATATCAAATTTAAATTTAATTGGTATCTAAATTAATTTATTTTAAATACAAAATGGTCACCTATTAAAACAAACTTTACACATTTGATGTTTATTTTTAGTGTTAATTAATTTAATTCTTGTTTAAATAGTCTCATCAACTTACAATTGACAAATAATCTCTGAACATGTATCATTTTATGAAAAACAATCCCCAATCACTTTACTATTAACCAATTATTTAAACCAATTGAATAATCATTTCCTTCTATCATACTATGGTCAATTATGACACCTGTAAAACACCATAATTACAATTAATCTTATAATTAGTAGATTTTATTTGAACTACATTTAAAGATAGCGATATAAACTTGCCATCTTTAAATTTGTATAAATTATTTTTAAATTTATCTAAACCTTACATTAATAATTTTGATCTTATCAAATAATATCATTGGTATTCCTCTACACGTTATGCAAATTAGGGTTTGGCTATATTGTTATCTGTCGTATCTACCTATTTATCATCAATCTATTACACTGCTATGTTGTAAAATCGATAGTTGCTATCAATCGCATACCTCTCCATTGACGCAACAGCCACATGGTGGGCCAAGTCCGACTGCTTGCTGGAAGGTTTCGAGACAGAAGATGTTTTTATTTTACAGGGTAGGGTTATCATTCCTACGCCTAACACTCTACTGTAATATTAGACCGGGACCTATGGTTTAAAGTGGATTACGAACCACTTCAAACATCCATGGCACCGCAGGGTCTCGAACCCTGTCGCAAGTACGCCAGAGCGCTAGCCAGTCACTCGGCCATCAGGCCCCATCTATCACATACTACAAACTTTAAATATTGTAAAATTCAAGTATATTGAAAATTATAAAAAAAATATTTATTCTCACCCTTTCAATAAAGAGTTCTTTTCTATAACACTCAAACATTTTTAAATCTTAAATTGTAAATATTTTACGAAAAAGAATGGAATATTCCAAGGAATTTTATCCGGTATTCGTTTTACATTCGATACATTTCACAATAAATTGCCGTTTTCTTGTCGAAATCGGAAATTTCGAAACTGCCCTATCGCTATCGCTCCGTCTGATGTCAATTCCGAATTACGCACGGCGGGCGAAACTCTTTCTGCATTCCGAACAGCGTCAAGAGATTTGCAAAAGTTCCATTGCCCCTTATCTCTCTTCCTTTTATGTCTACCATTATGTGACATTCGGGGATGTTTTACTCTCAATTCATCCGTGATCGTAGTAAAATATCTTTTCCTGTTCTCGTCCATGTTGTAAAAGTGTCCACGTATTTCACTTTATGATCAATTTTTCCTTTTTATTGATCTAAAATTATTGGATTCATTTGTTTTGGAAATAAAAAAAAAAATTTCATTCGTTACAGCATAGCATTTAATAGTCTAGCCATTATTTTCAAATGCAAATTTAATTTTCTATGTTTCATAATAAAAACATCTGCTAAATTTTGATACTTTTTATATATTGTAATGCATATTAGGTTGGGGGAGGGGGCCAGTTAAATTTTATGGTATGTATTCTAATATATGTCGGCTCAAATATAAAAGTATATGTTAGATAGCTTATATTTTATAAAATGGTAATATAAAAATAAAATGGTACAGATAGTGGTTTTCTATTACTATCTCTTTACTGTTGTAAACGAACAAGTGTATTTATTTTATTTTCAATATATACTATTTGATTACTCAAAATTTAAGATTATTGGATTTTTGAAAGAAAAATATTTCTAATTTATAGCACATATCTCCGAAAGTTAACCATCATTTTAAAAGTAAAATTTTTCCGTGTAAGTCTGAGTTAAAATAGCTCAATTGTAGCCCATCCATGTCATAAAAGGCGACTAAAGCGGTTACCCAGTGTCCGGCGGTATAACTGGATGGGGTAAAGTCAGACATCTCTCTTTGGGTGCCCCATGTCTAGGTGTCGCAAGGTCAAAGACAAAAAGAAGCTGCATATTTTTATCCTTTATCATGACTACGATTCATGGACTTGGTCTAGATATTGCTGTCAACCAATGGTATAAGAAACCATATAAAAATTTAAGGTAAGGTAAAAAGGTAAAATTTAATTTTTATATTGCGTAATAAAAGAGTTTATAAAATTATGTTACTTTTTTATGTTTTTACTTCATTATAGTAGTATTTATTCTAGTTTGGATTTTTATTTGTTACTATTATTCTGATATTTTTTTCGTGAACGATGCTAGACAAGTTATAAGATTTTTTTAAGTTGCTCTAAAATTAATTTTTACTTAAAACCAATTATGATTCATTTAAAAATTGCAAGACAAATAAATATTTCAACATATTAATCGAATTAGGAATTCTTTAAAAAATCTGAAAGGTTTGCGGCGAAATGCTTTTGTCAAAACTAAATTAATAACACAATTTCATTAAAAATTAATCATCGAGGTAAAAAATTAATTGAAATTTAAAAAATTGAAAAATGACAAATTATAATAATTAATGTAAAATATTTTTGTATAAAAATTTTTTAAAACTCTAATTATATCAATTTTGGAACTTATATACCAGAGTTGACTCTAATTTATGTTGTTTGTTTGTTGTTGTTGTTTCTTATCCCACTTGGCTGGCCAAGCCCACGAGCCCATACGTACTCATGGTTGAAGGGGAAGGAAGCAGCTTCTGTTGTGATGGAGCACCCGTAGGTAGAAGCCTGACTTTTGCTCCGTGACGTTCTTACAGTCATAGGAGACCGGGACCCTACAGCTTAAAGTGGATTCCGAACCACTACAAACATCCATGGCACCGACGGGATTCGAACCCGAAACCTGTGACACCGAGCGCTAGACACTCGGCCATTCAGGTCCCAAATTTGTGAATTCCAACGGCACGCGGTGTTCCCAGGTGGTCACCCACCCAAGTACTGACCGCGCCCAATGATGCTTGACTTCGGTGATCTAACGAGAACCGGTATATTCAGCATGGCATCTAATTTATAAAATGCGTTATTATTATATACGCAAATCTCCGTGACCCTGTTTTAATTACCATACTTAATCTAACTGACAATTCTTACTTTCTTATAAAATTCATATTGTATGTACATTGAATATGTAGAAGATGAAGAAGAATTATTAGTTATAAAAACTAAAAGTAAACTTATGTGAACTAAACTAATAAAAACTAATGTGAAAACGCGGATACAAAATACATCATAATATCGAATATACATTATAATTGTAAATTTTATATTCCAATATAAATGAGAAGAAAAAGGAAAATAAATGACTGTAGAATATGAATGAAAAACAAAGATTTGTAGGTTCAAAAGTAAAAGAGAAAGTTAAAATAAATATATGAAAAGATGGACCAATACCAATTTTAAGTAAAAGGGTATTACTACAAGAATATCAGATTTAACATGGATAAAATTATGTCAAATGATTTATGATAATATTCCATATAAATAATGAATAATATATATATTTATATAAACTTATTTCGTTTAATATCATCAATCATAATATATTTCACCTTCATTTCATAAGAAATGGTAGCATGTTATGATTTATTATGTTTTATAAGAATTTATATTGAAGATCAGTTAATTTCAGCAATCTACAAATTTAAACTGAAAATCGCGTGTTTTCTTGGATTGAAAGCGCTCGCTAAATATAAGATATCCCAATATTTTTTTTTATCTCAAATTAAATATTCTTAACAGCATACATTATATATATATATATATACATTAAAATTATATTGGCATGGCTGTGGCATTTTTTTTCAAAATTTAATACAACCACGTTATGCCATAAAAAAAAAAAAAAAAAACGGAACGGAAAAAAAAAAAACGGTCTGGACGATAAATGCTCAAACCATTGAAAAGGGCAAAGCTAAAAGCTAAACGCCCTAAAGCTAAAGCCCTACCTAAAGCTAAGCGCCCTAAGCTAAAGCTCAAACACCTAAAAGCTAATTCAAACGCCCAATCAAAAAAAAAAAAAATATCCTTCTGTGCCATATATTCTCTAATAAATGGAATACTTAGCACATTTTAAATTATAAATTGTTCAATAAAAATAAATATAATTACAATTTTAAAAGCATTCGCTATATAAATTTTCAGAATTGTATTGACATGAAAGTGTTAACATGATAAAGGACTAAAATAACGACATTATACCTTAAAACATTTATAATTCAGAACAAAACTGAACTGAATGAAACCAAAATGTTCTAAATGCCCGGACAGAAATCTGAGTTCTGTCTGACAGTTTTTTTACACTTTCTCTTTTTTTGGAGACGTTCTTATCTGGACATAACACCCTCGTTTCGTTCTTGGAAGGGAGAAAAAGAAGGAAGTTCAATATTCTGGTCTGTGTCTTTGTATTAATGTGTGAAGACATGTCTGCAAACAGATTTGCAGAGTAAGCGAGTTGGAGAATTAAGTGGAGTGGATGAAATAAAGAAAGATAGGAATGAGTGGGGTGGACATTTATTGAAACAGAATGATAAGCACTGGTCTTTTTGGAATCAACGTCAATAAGCTCTTCTACAGTTAAAATACTATATGCTTCATATCAGTTATGTCGATTAGCCCAATGACGTAAAATATTAACCTTGCTAATTTTGACCTTGGGCTCTGTATTCGTGGACGCCCTGATGGCCAACTGGCTCTGGTATTTGGTACCATAGGCTTCAGGTTTGAATCCTGGAGGTGGAATGGATGTTTCTTAGTAGTTCGGAATCCACATTAAACTGTAAGTCTCGGTCTAATTAGCCCAAAGTGTGGAAAAAACTACCGTAGAGCGTCTAATCAAACCAAATGTGTAATCGCGTTGTATATCTGCATATGGCTTTTTGGATTCATCTTGAGCCCTTCGATTTTTGAATTCTACTTCCACCTTAGTTGCATATAAGAAGACATTATACAATTTTATCAAAGGCTTCACGTAGTTTTTGGATTTTATACGTATAAATCCAAGAATAATAACTCCATATTAGTTTATATAATTTAAAGGTTTACTCCTAATAATATATAATCCATAAATAGTAAATTTTATTGTTACATTTAATTACATCTTGCCTAAAGCCTTTGAAATGAGCCCTTGATCACCCACAACAGCCATCTCCCATATTTGAATCTGAATCTCGAGATATATTATCGCGAACTGAGCGCATGGCACATGATTCTACGTCCCCCTTCACTATATGGTGCTAGGCTCCCTCTCCACCAGAATCTTTCAAAATTTGTCAACACGATAATATACATATATTTTTCAAATTATATATAGTTTTGAAGTTATTAACATTTCAAACTGTGCATGAAAATTTAACACTTTCTTTCTGAACCAACTACCCATGAACCTATACCGATTTTTACCAACTACCTATACCGATTTTATAAGTTTTCACATCAAAATACCTTTGGTGTTCAAGAAATCCATGATCTTCGCTTCTCTTGTCTAATCTCCTCAAAATAAGTGAGAGTGATTGTGATGATCAAGAAAAGGATGTCCAGGCTATTAATGATCATTAACTATTAGGTATCCTCTTTCTTTTCTTACAAACTTTAGTGATTGACTATCATTTCAGCAAGAAAGGAGTTTAAATTTCCTTGGTGCTTTATCAGGAATTTTAATTGAAAATGCTTTTTCCTGATTGTAAATGGTAACAATGATGATAGTAATGATGTTTTTCCAACAAATGGCAACAAATAGTATGATATAAAGTACAACAAATAAATTTGGAATCTATAACTGTGTGAAACTATAACTATAAACTTTGAATAAATAACTGTTTATAACATGCAGAATTATATCTGCATGCCAATCTCAAAATTGTTAAAAAATCAAAGATATTCTACCTTAAAACACTGATAAGTCAGTACATAATTAAAACTGATAATAACAGGCAAACTCAAAGTCCAAGTTCTAATCGTCCAGGGGAAAAAAAAATTAAGCACATGCTGTTTGACAAATCGACTACTAATCACATTTTTCTCTTTCTTGAAGATGTTCCCGTTTGGACATAACACCCTCGCTTCATTCTTAGAGAAAAAAAATGCTACTGGTGTTCCAGAAATCCGTGATCCCCTCTTATCTTGGTACCTCGAAATAAATTATATTGATTGTGATGATCACGGAAAGGATCTTCAGGCTATTTATGATCATTAACTACTGGATTTCCTCTTTCTTGTTTCTTTCGGGAAAACTTTGGCGATAGACTATCTTTTCAGCAGGAAAGAAGTTTAGTCTAAGTTTTCTCGGTGCTTTATCAAGTATTCTGATTGCAAACACCTTTTATTTAATGGTATAACAAATAGTAATGTTGATATTTTTCCTGTAAATGGCATGATATAAAGAAACGCAACAAATAAATATGAATCCTATAAACTTTGATCAGCCTTTATTTAACTAACTAATTATTTTTATAATTTAAAAAACAACATACACTATATATTTTTAGAGTTTCAATGGCATGGCAGGATTAATAGTGTTAAAAATTGAAGGCAATAATATTGCGGCTTTAAAATACATAAGTCGGCATAAATTAGAACTTATGTAACAAGGCAAAGAAAAATGAGCACTCAGTGCCACATGTTGTCTGACAAATCAAATACGTATCGCATTTTCTGGTTCTTGGAAATGTCCCTGTCTGGACGTAGCACCCTCACCTTTATTATGTAACGGTATCACAAATAGTTATATTGATATTTTTTCAGTAAATGGTATGGTATAAAGAAACGCAACAAACACATTTGTAACATATAAACTTTGGTCAGCTTTTTTAAAATTAATTAAATATTTTAATAATTAAAAAAACATACACTGCATTCTTTTAGAGTTTCAATGGTATGGGAGTGGTAATAGTGTTAAAAATAAGAAGGCAATGACATTGATACCTTAAAATATCATGTATTTTAAGGCATCAATATTATTGCCTTATTCTTAAGTCGGCATAAAGCTTATATTTATGTTACAAGACAAAGAAAAAGAGTATAATTGTCTGGGCAGATAAATGATCACTCAGTGTCACATGTTGGCTGACAAATCAAATACATATCCCCTTTTCTGTTTCTTGGATACCTCCCTATTCGGAAGCAACACCCTCGCCTTGTTTTTGGAAGGAAAAAATGCCAATGATGTTTTAGTATCCCATGATATTGTGCAACGTTAGTAATTCGATTGATTACGATTATCAAAGGTATTATTATCGAATGCTGTTTATGTTAATGTTGTTTATCATGAATATAACCTTCCAGGTTGTTTATCTTGATTAAATACTATAAGGTTTCTCCTTTACAAATTTCAGCGATAGACTATCTTTTCAGCTGGGAAGAAGTTTAGTCTAAGTTTCCTCGGTGCTTTATCAAGTATTTTGATCTCAAACACTTTTTATGTAATGGTATAACAAATAATAATATTGATATTTTTCCTATAAATGATATTATATAAAAAAACCCAACAAGTAAATCTGTAACCTATAAACTTTGGTCTGCTTTCTTTTAAACTAATTAAATATTTTTATAATTTTAAAAATATGTAGTGTACACAGTATATTTTTTTATACTGTTAAGTCGGCATAAAGCTTGAACTTATTTTACAAGGCAAAAAAAAAAAAAAGTATAATTGTCTATGAAGAAAAAGGAGTACTCAGGACCAAACGTTGTCTAAAAAAATCAAATACATATCACATTTTCTCTTTCTTGGAAATATTCCTATCTGGACGTAACACCCTTGTTTTGTTTTTGGGAAAAAAAAAATACCACTGATGTTCCATGATACTGTGTTACCTTGGTAATTGGCTTAATTACGATTATCAGTGGTAATATGTACCCGACTCTTGGCTCAGTTGCATTGTGGGCGGCTGGGGAGCATTAGGGCGGAGGTTCAATCCGCTGACTGCTTTGTTGTAGACACTGTTTCAGAACAAGAGGACCCGATGACTTTTGTGATGTTCAGCATTTTGCCTCGTTAGTCGGACTA